AGATCTCCTTGAAGTTGACGATGAACTTGTTTTTCACGAATATTTTCTCTTCTTTGTAGTCTTGTTGCAAGATTCGGATGATGACCGCTAAATGTTTCAGTTGTTGAGTGATTGTTATCCACATTATCATAAGAGTAATCAAAATTACCTCCATATGTATGTCGTTCATCTTCAACAATCATGTTGTGCAATATGATGCACGCATATATGGTATGTTTGAGGGTGTCCATGTGCCAGGCACGCGCTGGGCCACGTATAATTACAAATCGAGATTGAAGCACTCCAAATGCCCTCTCCACATCTTTTCTAGCTGATTCTTGATGTTGAGCAAATAATTTTTTCTTCTCTCCTTGTGGCATTGAAATGGTCTTCACAAATGTAGCCCACTCAGGATATATACCATAGGCTAAATAATACCCCATATTATATGGTGTTCCATTGATTGTATATTGCATATTGGGAGCATGTCCTTCCAAAATATCGTTAAACACGTTGGATTGGTTTAACACATTAATGTCATTGTTTGAACCAGCAATACCAAAAAAAGCATGCCAAATTCATAAGTCCTGTGATGCCACTGCTTCAAGCATGATTGTGGGCTTTCCATTATCACCTCGACAAAATTGTCCTTTCCATGCAACAGGACAATTTTTCCACTCCCAATGCATACAATCAATGGAACCCAACATACCTGGAAAGCCACGTGACTCTCCCATTTGTAAAAGATGTTCAACATCAGTGTTGTTAGGCTTTCTCAAATACTCAGCCCCAAATACAGCATTCACACTCCGAACGAATCTTTGTAAGCACTCAATTGAAGTGCTTTCACCTATTCGAACATATTCGTCTACAACGTCAGCAGGAGACCCACACGCCAACATACGAATAGCAGATGTACATTTCTGCAATGGTGAAAGACCCATTTTACCAGTTGCATCAACCCTCATTTGGAAATATCCATCATGATTTCCAAGGGCATCTACAATTCGAAGAAATACATGCCTATGCATTCTGAACCTTCTTCGGAATTGAACATCTGTGTATACTGGGTTTTCCGAGAAGTAGTCATTGAATAATCGATTGTGCCCTTCTTCACGACTACGATCTACCATTGTTCTTCTCTTTGGCATAGATGAACTTCCAGATTGACGTTCATTTTCAAGCAATTGTTCTTCATCACTATCGTCGATAAATTCTTCTTCAATCAACTCCCAAAATTCTTGGTCAAAATCATCTGAATTGTCTGAATCCATTTTAGTGAATTAAGAATGATAGAAAAATGAGAGAAGAATTAGATAAGTATGATAGAAGAATAAGATGAGAATGGGAAAACAATGACATAAGTGATAGTATATATAATGGTTTGAATAACTGCTAGTTTGAATAACGACTAGTTTGAATAACGGCTAGTTTGAATAAAGGATAGTTTGAATAACGGCTAGTTTAAATAACGGCTAGTTTGAATAAAGGATAGTTTGAATAACGACTAGTTTGAATAAAGGATAGTTTGAATAACGGCTAGTTTGAATAACGGCTAGTTTGAATAACATAATATTTATTATAATTTAAAGTGGTACTAATGACCATTTTACATAGGTGTTGATAATTTAAAGTGGTACTAATGACCATTTTACATAGGTGTTGATAAATTAAAGTGGTACTAATGACCATTTTACGTCAATGATACTAGCTACATTCCATATTTTTTTTTCATCTTATTACAATATTTTTCATGAATATCTCGTTGATTATCATTCATAGTAGAAGTGTCTTTCATGATGATATTCATTGCCTTTAGTTCTAGCTCGTCCTCCTTACATTGAGCTAGTCTTTCCATTGCTGCTGCTCTTTTAATCCTTGCATCTTGCATTGCATTTGGAATTTCCTTTGCCTTACCCTTCCTTTTTGCTGCTTTTTGTCCCATTGGACGCTCCATTGGTGATGATGAGTTAAACTCATAACTTGAAGGTGTATTTGGGTTATCCGATGATGCCCCACTAGCAGAGCTCTTTGTAATTTTTGAAGAATTTCCAATCGATTCTCCCATCCATTTAGGTTCATCTTTTAACAATCGCCATACATACTCAAGATTGAATGTTGTACCTTCATCCTGAGCAAAAAAAGCATGTGCAGCAACCATGATATCGTTCTCCGATGTCCCACTTTTTTTTCCATTAACAGCTTGTTTGTAACACCCAACAAATTTTTGAACCAAGTCATTTATTCGATGCCATCGACATTTTAATTGCCCGCCTAACTTTTCCCGCGATTGCCCACGATACTGGTTATAATTGGCAGCGATTCTTAACCAAAAACTCTCAGCTTTTTGATCAACTCCCACAATTGGATCCTTTGAAACATTGAGCCATGATTGGATAAGCAGTATATCTTCATCCCTTGTAAATTGCTCTTGAGATTTTTTTTTAACGACAACCCTTTCTTCTTTTTCAGTACCAACTTGAGTAGAAACTGGTGGAACTTGACATCCAGACATAAACCAATCGGTGTTTCCGGAAAAAATATGGCGGGGTTTGTTGGCACAGATGGAAATTGAGAAGTTTGAGGATTAGGATTTTGATAATTTGACATGTAATTGAACATAGCTTGTTGATAATGAAAATGATTAGGATCCATTTGACCTAAACAATTTTAATTTAAAGTAGGAAGATGATATTGTGAGAAAGAAATAAAATTATGAGAGTAAATTGTGAGAAATAAATAAAATTATGAGAACAAATTGAGAGAAAGAAATAAAATTATGAGAGCAAATTTGAATATACAACTTATCACTTTATCATATTTATAAAGAAATAAATTATTAAAATAAAATAAAAACAAAAAAAAAATGAACCGTTATGCAACGGCTAGTTAATTTGGAAAACTCTTGCAGCTATTTTATTTAACTTTAATGCTGTCAAGTGGAAAATGCTGCTAGGTGGAAAACTTAACATAAGAACCCAACATTAGAGCTGATCTTAGGTATAAGGCAAGTCATTCAATCATTTGAAGATGCTTAAAGCGGGTGGCGTATTCTCATTTTTCAATAGAAAGGAAATCCATGGTCCTTTAAAAAGTCAATGAATCCAAGAAAGATTGATCATTTCAAGTGTGCTATATTATGTTTTGGAACTTCAAATGCAAACAAAGGATAGTACGTCATACTTTGGACATTCGGAAGTCTGTCACGTGAAGTCAAAAGTCTACAAGGTTATACTTCATTTGCAAGATCATATATCATGGATTTCAACATATAAAATCAAAGAAATGATAGGTAATGTGCTAAGAAGAAATTGCTTGGAAAATACAAAATTCTATCATTGATTTCAAAAGCTTGATTCAAAGATCACCAACCTTGTGCATTACAAATTCAAATTCGATACGTTTCAAGCTACATTACAACACAAGGTTACATGATTATTCAAATACAAATTTCCAGTATTACATTACAAGGGGAATTTTATAAAAGAAATCAAATTCTAAGTGTCCTAAAATCCTCGATCCTAATCTCCATCTTCATCATCATGAATGGCCAATCTTCACCACTTTTCCTTTCGACTTTTCCTCATACCTTCATTAACTTCAACTGACTTCTGTGTTAGGTTCCAGCCTCAACCATGTTTGTGCTATGCCTAGACCATGCCTTAATTCTATGCTTTAAAACCTGCATTAAACCAAATAAGCCAGAACAGTCCATCACTAACAGTTTTGCAACTAAACTTAACTGTTAGTACATGTAACAATCTCAAAACTAGACCTGCTACACCATTAAAGCACCATATCAACCCCCACGCTTCTATTCTTACAATGTACATCAAGCCCTAGCAACAAAAATCAGAAAGTGAGGGAAAAAGAGTCGTAACCAGAAACCAGATCCAAAACTGATTCAGCAATACACTTTGCTCTGCCCAAGAAATGCCCTGTTCAAAATAAGAAGAGAATTCATAAGAAAGCTTTTTAATCGGAGCAGAAGGAAAATCGTGAAACAATAAAACCAGTTGAAAATAGAATTTCCATTCAACTCACATAAACCTAAAACCAACTCATCCATTCAACTGCGGCCCATGCGACACAGTCCAAATCAGGGAAAATTATAATTCAAATATCCAAAGTTAAGCAAAACAATTTACCTTACACCAGTTCAAACAGAAAAACCAAATAAACAGAAACAATTCACTAAAATAATAAACAAGCTAACATAAAAACCATTTTCAATCATCACTAACCGCACTCAACCCCATTCTTTCAAACTAACTCATTTAAATTTGAACCTTATCCAAATCCCGAACCTAAGCTTCTAACTAATCCAAACCAAAGCTTCAGTTCATCCAAACCTGTGTATCCGACTCCGAAGCTAACTAACTTACACTTCATCTCAACTACCTTAAACCATCTAACTAACTTCTAAACTAACTATGCTAGCTCATCCCATAACTGTCATAGCAAAAACCTAACTGACTAACTTGCAACAGAATTTTCAACTTCTCTAACTAACTCTTACCCGAATTCATCTCTGCCCTCCATCTCATAACCAACTGTCACAGATCCAAGGGCTATGAATTACTTACATGTAACAAACTTCAGATGATATAACAACAATCTCCTTTAATTGCTTCATTCTTCATTCTTTCTAGAGAATCACCATAAGCTTCATCTCCTTTCTCTCTTCTTCTCTCATATACATCTTCATCATTCTTCAACACCCTGAAGAATCACCATCAAACTCTCTTTCCCCTCTTATCTTCATCTTCATCATTCTTGAATTCTCTGAATAATCACCACCAAAAGCTCTAAAATCCTCTCTGAAATCTCTCTCTGAATCTATGCTTCAGTGTCACTTCAACACACAATTCTTCACATCTCTCTGAGACCCTTCACGAAAAAATCTTCATTCCTTCTCTGTAAATCATCATCTTCATCTTCCAAGATCTTCAATCTTCGAGCACATCATCTCCAAGCTTCCGCGTTGACGCATCTTCCTCTATCACCAGAACATCACTACATCAGCAAATCATCGCAATTTCAACGAGCTTCATTCTGCAATCAACAACAACAATACACATCACATGATTTGAAACGCGGAAACGAAAATGGAAGAAGAGTCGAGGAAGAAGATTCGTAATCGTCAACATAAGAAGAGAAAGAAGAAACATATCTCTGATTATCTCGTCATTCTCGTCACTACGAAGAAGCCGCTGGAGCATCTCTGGTAGGTCAGCTCCTGTATCTTCTTTTCTTCATCATTTTTACGATTCGTGAGAGGTTCGAATAGAGAGTAAATCGGAAGTCTGAGGTTGAAACGGGATGGTGATGAACGTTGCTAAGGAGTCAGACTTGAAGCAAGATCGGATGAAACGGCGGTGAATGGAGGTTTGTTTGGTTACCAGCGCCGACGAAGAAAAGTGCAACGGAGGTAAACAGTGGCTTTATGCCGCGAATCGAAGCGGAGATACAGATTGAGGCAGAGGAGGGCTAAACGGACGGAAGAGGAGGTTGTGAGGAGGTCGCCGCCGTCTGCGCGTGAAATTAGAGGGAAATAGATTTTGCTTTGAGAAGATGAAGAGACACAGTTTTTTGAACCCTAACTCTCTTTTCCAAACGGATAACTTTATATTTGTTTACATATTATTAGTTTTTTATTTTAGTTTGCCATAATAATGATAAAAGTGATGAATAAAAATCTTCAAATACATAGGGCTGGATCATTATGATGAACCGAACCTTTGCCTTTAAGCCCAATGATCTCTATTTTTGGAGCCTGAGGCCAACTAAACAAAACAAAAATTAGATTTTGGACTTTCTGAAATGGGCCTTGCACCTTGAGCAATTTTAGTTTCATGCTCGTATCCCCTGAACTTACTATTTCTTTGTTAGATTTAAGATTTTTTTTTTTGTTAATTTTCCTATGACAAAACTATAAAGTCAATAAAACTTGTTAGATTTTCTTAGTTGATTTCAGGAATTAATTCTTTAGTTTTTGATAAAATTTTATCTCACATAAAAAACTAATAAAAAATACTTTTTCTTTTAGTTTTTTATTCATATTTTACACTATTTTGCCTTGTTATGTTTGACGCGTTTGTTCATTGTGCAAGGTACACTTTGGTGTTTTAGATCATGTAACATAACAAGTTGTTATGCGATCGAAACATACGACTTATGCTCGCTTCCGATGCGAAATGCCTCATTTCTCATCGTCATGATAAATTCATATTAAATTATATGTTGTCCGGGTGCATGTGATATTTTGTGATACTTTGGGCAGGAACTTCTGATTACGCGTTGCATTTGCAACATGCGTGTGTTTTTATCTTAGTTAGATATCGTTCCTGACTTTCTTTGTTTCTTGGTGAAGCTTGCTCGACGTGTACTCCTTGCTTATCCATTGCTTTCGTCCGCTTTTGATGATCCACTTGCTTTTGGTAGTCACCGCAACTACTTTTATATTTTTCGGCACTTTATTGCATTTCTTTACCGCTTTTCTAGATATCATGAGAAGTAGGAAATAAGAGCATGCACTCGAAGTCGCTGTTTAAAGACATGTAGCAGGAATTTCGCACTTGTTTGCTAATTGTGCTTATGTTTGCTTTCATCTTTTGATGGCTGATGATGTCACTCAATTTTGAGACAATGACTTCGGCTTTTGCATGCTTCCCATTGGATTTTATTGCTTTCTTTGTTGACGATTGATGATACTCAATTAGAATTGAGATAACGACTCCGATCTTTGCATTCTCTCTTAGGGCTTTATCGTTTTCCTTTGTTAATGATCGATGATATCACTCAATTAAAATTGAGACAACGACTTTGATATTTGCATGTTCCCTATAAGATAGTCATCCTTGCACCTAGGTTTTGGTATGCTAACGTAGGTAGACATTTCCCTTTTAGCATTTTCTTTCTCTTCTGCATATGCATTAAAACTAAAACTTTGTTTTTCTTGTCAAATTCAAAAAAACACTCTAATAATACAAAAAACCCTTTTCAAGGTAAAAAACATCAATCAATCCAAACTCTTTTCGCCTTCGAGCCTTTCATCGAAACTCTCAATAGGATGTGTTATTTCTACTTTAGGCGGTACAACGCGTAAATCCGCAAAGGTTGGGTTGCACCCATGTCTACTTGCCAAAAAGTTGCGTATGAAACATTATCTGCATTTGGGCATTTTTCTTTCGAAGATACCTCGTCAAGTATGAGCATGTTAGTTCCTTTCTACTACAGACGCGTGAGTCTCCCAGGGTCAAGCAGCGATAGAATGCGAAGCTTATAATTATTCCATTAAAAACACAAAAAAAAACAAAAATATGTGAGCTGAACTACGGTGCTCTGATTCCTAGAAAGGGGTACGTAGGTAACAGGTCGCGGGGTCTAACCGAGCAAAATTCGTAAATACCTCCTTCTTTTCCCCGCATTTCTTTTGCATGCATTCTTCCTCAGTGGTAAGCGGTATACATATATTAGATACACCCATAAGATAGATAACAAGGGTGGATATCATGGAGTACTACGGGCATGCAGGGTGCTAATACCTTCCTCTCCCGTAACAGACTCCCTTACCTGATATCTCGGGGTCGCAAGACCGTGACTTCTCCCTTCTTAGGTTTTCTCGATGTTCACATTTCTCTTCATGTGGGATAAAAGATGTTCGATAGAGACTTCATTGTTTGATGGTTTTCAGCTGGTTTTTTCAGCTGGCGACTTCACTGGGGATAACTCGACCAATTGTTGGTCCATCTCAGAGTCGCTCATAGCTCGTGTTTTCTTTTCTTTGGGTGTTTATTTATATGCTTTATGGGTTGTTTATTTTGTACATGTTTATCTGAGCATATGTTTGCATTGCATTTTATTGCTTTGCATATTGGTTATCTGTTGTGCTGGCTTCTGGTTTTCCATGTTAGGTGGGTGTTACTATGAGGTAAAAGGCCTAGTACCCAGGCTAGAGTGCACAACCATAAGAACCCTAGGAGTAGAGCGGAACATGAACGGCTAGTAGACTTTGGTTTGCTAGTATGGTCATGTCGTCCATGATCAGATGAGATTAAAAATGAGGTGCTATCGTTTAACGTAGGTGTTTCGACGATAGTGGCTTCAGGCGTACCCATGATTCTGAGTTACCCTTGCCTTACCCTGACCTAGTTTCTCTCGTGAGTGAGGAGGGATGATTGATTCTTACAGGTACTATTGGTGACTATGTTCAGATGGTGCTATTTGTTCTGATGGTGACCATATGTTATGTTGGTGACTATGAGATTCTCAGATTTATTTTTTGAGTTTCTGATATGATGTTCATAAGGTTCTTTTGGGTTATGTTCTAGACCCTTGATCCTGAGATATGTGGCATGTTCGGAAACAGTGCAGTGGTTATCCCAATTTTGTGGAGCCTTGATCCCATGATCATTGCATACCATAACATTATTTACCATTATGTATATACATCCCATTTCTATGGAATTCCAAAGACAAGTCTCCTCCAATTGAGCTTTCCAAGAGAAATACCGCAAAAAGGATATTTATGGATTTACTAGTCTTTGAGTTCTTTGGAAATGAAGGATGATACATGCACTCATAATATTATGCATTTCATTGTTCGTGTCAGAAGCTTATTGGGGCCATTCTTTTCATTCAGAGCTCAAAATCAACGACAATGAATTCTCTACATCCGTATTGGACTCGCTTCAATCAAAGAAGACTTATGGATCTCTTGGAACAGAATCAGAATGCTCTATGTAGGAACATGGACATTATGAGTGATAAAATGAATCAACTTTTCGAGACTCTTCAAGTTGTTGTTAAAAGTCAAGAAGAGCTTTGTCAGAGTGTTGCCAAGATTCCAGAGGCTTTCTCTTCCACCTCTAATGGGTTTCCTAATCCTCCTAATGGAATTCCCAAAGATGCTACTGTTGGGATCATTCTTGATAATCTTGTGCCTCAGAAGAAGGAGGTTGACAACTATGACAACGTCATCAATCTTAATGGACCACCAGGAGAACCTATTGTTGATTCTGCTGAAACTACAAAAATGCATCATGTTATTGAGGAACGTCTGGATGCCATGGAAACTTCTAAGACTTCTAGTTTCAATGCCACTACCATATGCCTAGTACCTGAGATTGTTATCCCTTCAGAGCTCAAGATTCTTGATTTTGACAAATACAAAGGCGATGGTTATCCAGAAGCTCATCTTCGTCATTATTATAGCAAGATGGGAGCTCATGCTAATAATGAACCATTGCTCATGCACTTCTTTCAAGACAGCCTGACCAGGGCTTTGTTAGAATGGTATATGTAGTTAGAGAGAACTCATGTCAGTACTTGGGGAGAGCTTGTTGATGCTTTCTTGAAACATTACCACCACAACACTGATATGGCTACTAGTCGTGCACAACTTTAGGGTATGGCAAAGAAATCTGAAGAGTCCTTCAAAGAGTACGCCTAGAGGTGACGTGGGTTAGCTGCAAGGGTTCAACCTCCTCTCTTGGATAGTGAATTGACTGATTTGATCATGGGCACCTTGCAAGACCCATATCTCTAAAACATGTTTGGTAGTACTTCAACTTCCTTTTCTGACTTGGTTACCATTGGGGAATGTATTGAAGATGGCCTCAAGTTAGAAAAAAATTCAAGGTGCATCTAGCGCTATCAATCGAAGTAACAAGAAACATTGCTTTGGCCTTCTCAAGAAGAAAGAAAGAGAGACTAGTGTTACTATTGACAAAGGTAAAACCCAGGCCTATCATCAAGATCAAGCTCCGTATCGTCAGACATCGGCTGTTTGTCCTAATCGGTATGTTCCTCGAGCATATGCTGCAATTTTGGCTCAACAACCTAGGGTGGCCAGGCATCGGCGAATCCCTTATCAACAACAGTGCGTACAAAGATAACCGTATGTTCAGCAAACACGATATACACTTCTTCAGCTGAACCAACAATCCCATGGGCAACTGTATTTCAATGCCTTATGCTCAACACCTCCATCATTTGTTAAAAGGCCAATTAGTCCAGCTGAGAGAGCTTGGCCCTCCTTCATATCTCCCCTCGGGATTATGATGCCAATGCTCATTGTGAATTCTATTCAAGGGCCCCAGGCCACATAATTGAGAATTGTAGGGCATTAAAATACAGTGTTCATGACCTCCTTGATGCCAAAGCTATCATATTCACTCCAAAGGGTCTAATAATGGATTGAATCCTCTTCTTGAGATAG